TTGTTGTAGCTTACAATCTATTACCTCATGCTCGGCAGACAGTTGGTGTTAACTGCTCGGCAACACTTACTCCTGCCCCCGTAGATCGCTGGCCGTATTTCACACGGCTCTCCACAGATAATCAGTTTCCCCTGAGTATGTTTGCATGATCTAAGTGTATTTGTCGATATTGAACAAGCAGTTACATCATCCCATAGCTCCAAGCAAGACGGGGGTAATGACGGAGTAGCTCAGTCAACAGCCCGATAAATCAGCACTGCTAACCTTATGGTGAATTCTTCGCATGGTAGGATACGGACAGTTCAACTTACTAGTCCGAATAATCAGGACCCCAAACACACACATATATATATATATATGTACATACGTGTACAAGTATTCCGAACTTCCAGTCATACGTTGGGGAATACGCTAATTAGACACTAAAGTAATGGGGTTATTAACCAAAATTTCCAATCAAAGAAAGCTAAACGAATGTATTTTTGTTATTAATGACTGAAATACATCTTCATAATTAATATTCATCAGTTGACGAAGATAACAAAATTCAAAGGTTTAACCTTCTAACTGCTTGCCACTACAAAATATATAGGATGTCAAGGCCTTTATTGTTACGTTCTGTTGTTTGTCTGGGGAATATTCAAGAAGGGGTACAGTTTTGTTTTGTTTTTTGTCAAAAACGGTATTGTGAATTTCATAAAAATCCTTCTTTCATATAAAGGTATTTACTGGTTTGTCTGTCATGAAGCGCAACACAGTTTCGCCTGTGAATAAAACACGGAAAACGCCGAAATTATGATTAACATGGGGAAAACCAGAACAACATGGGTAACTTCAACATGGCCAGTTCACCTGATGAAGGGACCTGGAATGGTCTCGAAACGTCGTGAGAGAAATTAAAAAGAAGTTTAATCCATAAAAATATCTTACACATCAATGTACAAATTCTAAATGCTACTGAAAGACAACATGGGTAAGGGTCAGGAATCCAAATTTGGGTCCGTCGGGAAGCCGGAAACACAAGTTTTGGTGTAAGGACATTCCGCGCAGAATGTTATAATACCTTTCTTCCGAAAATGAAGTTTTACTTCCTCCTAACACACCCGTGAGGCGTGTTTCTGAGAATAGATCCTCCCCAATACTATGTAAGTGAGTCCATGTCGAGTCCACGTTGACGAATGGGAGTATCCATAGTCGCAGCTATACGACGGCTAAGTGAAGCGGGACAAAATGTTATGGTAATCAAACTCAGGCAGCATGGAGCGTTGGCAACGTTGTCAACCATTCGTTGGTCTGGCCGTGTGTCCAAAACTTACAGATCGACGACCCGTGAAGATCCGGGTTACAATTGGTGTTCAGCAACCCATGTTTGTCGGAAGAGGCGACTAACGGGATCGGCCGATCAGGCTTAGATCGATGCTCATGCTGTTCATCACTGGATCGTATGACCAAGACTCGATTAATTACAGACCGCAGTTATATAACTGTAAAATGCAGAGTGCAATCAAAACATAATCCAGCAAAGTAACGGTACTGGTCATCACAAGTTAATGAGTTGTGGGTCGGGTAGGGATGAAGTTTATTGTTCAGAGATATGCACGTTTTAGCGGACGCTACTAAACTGGTTATTTAATGATGCTCCCAGCTGATTTGCGCCGGGCTCTGCACACATTACTATCATGTGTAAATATTCAAGTACTGCTTCCCGACATGGCTGTTATGTCTGCCTGTTGCCTTATAATGAGGTCAAGCAGTAGTTGTCAGCGTCGGATTCGTTATATCGGAGGACGTGGAAATGATACATACGTCAAATGTCCTGCACAAAAGGAAACATTTGTTTCAGTTTTGAAAGTAGGGAACACATTCCTCTGAGAAGCTATGAAACAAAACCTATAGAAAATTTAATAAAGTACTCACTTAAAGGATTCCATTTTTAAATATGCCATTTCAACAATTCTGAATTTCGACGTCTGGTGTTACCTTCACTGGCAAATCTACAATATCCATATAATTTGGTTTCAGTACGTGAATATTTCATACTCAGCCCGAGTTGGTGTTCAGTTAAGAGGAAGGTTGATGTTCATCCTTGGTAGGGAGTTTCGACCTGAAGGCATGGGAGGCTGGCGTGGGGTGTGGGAACGTTTGGAGCGGGGGCTCGCAGACACACCACAACATGATCCTTCACGTCTCAGAAGCTCGAGTTTAAGGAAGGATTTTTAAAAAATCTTATACAAACATTACATTGTGGCTTAGCTTGATGATGCGGGTTTTTAGGAAAATTGTTTACATGATAAAAATATTACAAAATGATACCATTTATTATATCTGGAGTATCAATCTAACGAACTTAGTTTAACAGACTTTAGACTAACACATACGGTCAATTAAATTATTATCTTCGTCTTTAAGTTCTGTATTGATGCAGATTTCATAATGTGAAATATAGCTAGTTCGGCTATGTTTTACATCTCGATTGGCTTTCTTTAACAAAATACAATATATGTTGTATAGTCGTGGTGAAGGGCAGATTTAACACGTCGAGTCTTGTATAGACATATAAGAACAAATGTTTTGACAATCATTCTGAATCGGACCTAACAACAACAAAACACAACGCGCGATTACTCGTAAAATATCTTTTGTTTTGCTCAGGTGAGCAGTGTTTGGCATGTTCATTGCAATACATCCCCCCTTGACTGTCTGCTCCAGGTAAACGAGCACACCTGTCCTACAGGTATGTCTCACCTGTCGACAGATACTGCACAGGTGACAAGGACGCGACGTGCCTCGAGTCCAGCCCAAGGGCATTGCGTTATTTCAGAATATCGCTGTCAAATAACAATCCCCGTCTGTCCTCGATCCACGTAACTGGTACCCATCTATCATTCCCAATCGTTTGCTCCGAACGAATCTTAATTTGCTTGCCCAACTGCGTCTCCGATTGTTTCCGAGTGAGAGACTGGGTTCAATTATTTACACTGCTTCGTTAAATAGTTCAATTTGTCTCGGGACAGTAAAGATGGTCTACAGACATGAATAAATTACCTCAACTAAACATAGGAAATCGACCTCTTAAAGTTCTGAATTAAAGGCAGGTAGAATCTCCTCCGAGGGCAGGTGGTGCAACATGAACGTTCATTGTTAAGAAAACATGAGGCATTTCGTCGGTGACGCCATCACAGTCACTGGGGGTCTCGACATTGGGAAAATATATCTAAGACTGAGATATAAGCGAGCAGGTTAGAGGATCTTCAGTTTTAAAAGTAGCATATTCACTTCATATATTACATCTGGTGATATTGGTCACCAAACACGTTACTAAGTTACCCTGGCTTTAATTATGCTCCGTAACTATCAAAGACGACGACAGCCGTCATTGTTGAAGGCGGCAGGAAGCACTAGCGTTTTATTTTATATAAAAAAATAACAAGAAATACTGACAAAAAGGTGATCGACAACTTTTTGGCCAACCCCGATTTCGACCACGACATTGCCCTATACATGAACAGTGCTGGGCTTACTATTGACTACAGGTATATTCTCGGAATTGTCTTCAAATGACAAACAGAAAGAATGGGAAGCAGGATTGGTAGATCATATTGCTGAACACATGCATCTACAACACGATGCTGAGATTGACCAGACGGACACAGGCGTTATTTAGTCACAGCCATGAGTCTGCCGACATGTATTGGTTTTCCTTTTCAAATTTCAAAAACTTGTCTGGGTAGAAGCTGGCTTTCTACGACTGGATAAAGGGCCTTTATGCTTGGACGAAAGGGGTGCGTGTGAGCGGTTTAAAGGGGCTGCGTGCCTTCAGCTTTCAGAGGCTAATAGCAGTTTCCTTTTCCTGGATCATCCAGCTACCTGGGTCATAGAGCAGGGACGAGATAATTCATCAGCTCGTCCTAATCGGACTGAGTACACTAGATATTCTCTCATCTCAATTGGACATCAACCGTGTAATGATGGCGACTGTATCGCGATTATAAGGAAGACCGACGCGTCCTGTTGAAACAATGGCCCTGTCATCCAGAAATCTCAGTCGTATTTCTCACACTATTTCCATCATTTACCTTATGTTCAACTGACACACGGCCTAGCAGCTCACGAATGCAGCACCGTCGCCGTGCTTGACATATATGTCAAAAATAGATTTATATCTAGAGTCATCAAAATGTCAGACTATTCATACTGCGACAGGTATCTACATCTAAACAGGATATGTGGAATATAGACATAAGATGCAAGGCTATCATAATATAATGGATAATTATCAACTAACATTTTTATTAATTATTGTTAATATTTCCTGTAATCATTTTTTATTTACTCCGTATCTTGTCTCGCACTCTCAGCTTAATGGTGTAGAGTTTATCACAAATCTATGTACTTATTGCAGTTAGATAACATTTATCAGACTTTTCAAAAACCAATAGAACTTAAAACTTGTCAAATTAAGTTTCCTACCGATGTATAAGTTAACAATCACCCAGTGGGGTGTTCTGCTTCAACAGGGATGGTCACTTACATCCTTATTTGTAGAAATGAGGATAAACGCGTAAACTTACGCAATCTGTATCCGCTTTCCAGCGATAGAACAAGTAATGATCCTAGATTTAAGAAATTGAGAGAAAGAGTTGTTCGACTTCCAATGAAACTTTCAAACATTTTGTTTTTCTGTAACTAGTTGTTAAGCCATATTTAAGCAGAGACAATATACCGATGGTCTCTGTAGTTAAGTAATTATATAACACCCTCAGTAACGGACACAATAAACCCTCCCTTCTGCACCCCTCACACAGGACAGTTACTTTATCAACCTAATTAATCTTTACAACCATCACAACCCTCGACCCCCCTTCCACCAGCTGTAAACAAACTCTCTGAACCCGGACGACATTCTATAAAGCTTGAACAGGCCTGGCTCCTTTGTTTGAACAAAGGACACTGTTAAACGTCCGAATCCTTGTATAATGAGAAAGTTTAACAAAGCTTACCTTCTTCGTGATGCCAAGTACTGTTACAATAGTCTGCCTTCCGACACTCTGTCTTGGGCTTGGTTTTGTATCCAGAGGTTTTCTTGCAGTTTTCCTGTCCATTTTCTTCCACACACTCCGTAGTCTCCCATTTTATTCTCAGTTGTTTTGTTGTACAAATTGTATCAAAACACTCCACGCGAGTCCACAGACTAAATCTCACATCGCCTTCTGTTTTATTTTTCGGGGCTGTCCACATCGGGACGAAAGAACCCGAAAGTTCAAGCCCGAACCCCACTAGCAACAAAACGGCTGTGAAAATAGACAAAGCTAACTTTTCCGACTTCGTGGCCATGTCGCCGAGAACTTGAATGACTGGACACTCCGATTTCGTCACACTCACAGACTAGACATTGCAAAATCCCCGGAAAGTAAACTCCACCGTTATCCGCGATCAGTTCACAACATGCTTCGCTTCATATGGTGTGGTCGGAATTTGACCTACTTAAGAACTGCTCAAGTCGGATGTGACATTCAGCCGAACACATGACAAACTGTGGACTCCCAAGCCTCGTGACGTAGCAGCGAGATAAACGCCCGTTCAAATTCCCGCGAGCGGCGAGCAAGTGGTCGGCCCTGCAGCAGACGACACCGAATGGCTAAAGCGCCCGTCCGCTGTTACAGCTTGGCTACTTTTAAAGCTCTAAATCATATCGGTGTTACCTCCATACATAACAAACTGAGTCTATTGATCAATGATGGGCTCGCGAGAGGCGAGCGTCCCCAGTACATACAGCCAAGCAGACGACATGGAGAGTTTGCCGCGCTCACACGCGGTAGGCTATCGGTCTGTAGGTGTGAAGTGTTCACGGACTCACTCTAACAGTGAACAAGAATTGGCCTCCAATCATCAAAGCCTACCCTTCCTGTATACCATGGCCGTCCCCGGTACATCAGATCAAAGTTTTATTGAACATGTCCAACTCTGGATTAATCAGAGACTGTTGCACACTACAAAGCCGATCTACACACCTCCTTTGGATGCTGTAAATCCAGCGTTTCTTTCAGTAGCTGTACAAAGCTGCCGAGAGCTGTGATTACTGCTTGAACTTTCCTTCAACAGACTCTCAGAAGTGTTCTGCCCTGTCCAGAGTCCTCAGGCCTTCAACCCCGCCCAGCGATCATCCCGGGAGACCTGAAGCTATTACAGCCATTGTGTACTTTATGTTCACTCAACATATGCATTAAATTGTCTCTGCCTCGTCTGTAGAGAATACCTGAAAAATGATCTTAATGGAATGGTAAAACTAGACGCGGACTTCATATATATCTATTGTCCTTCCACGTCGCTTTTCCAATAAGCGCTAATTATCAAGATGTACAATCAAATCCCCCGTTCGGGACAAAGGGCCGCCCATTTAGCCGCTAGGTGTCTACAGCTTGACCGCGATGGGAGGGACCGGTGTTTTCAGTAGACTGTATTTTTCATTGCGTGAAATTGAGACGACTCGTGGTTCATTTCCATGTAAATGTGACCACCTAAGGGTCGTTACGCAAATGTTATTGAATTATCTAAATCTGCACACATGTAGTAGAGCCATTGTATACTCGTTGTGTCGAGTTTCTGTCACAGGACACCTTATTGCGAAGTAGTCAAAATGTCGTAGTTGTTCTTAACACATTTAATTCATTTCTAAACCTTGTGTCGTGAAACACTACCAAATCACCAGACAGGCAAGTGAATATCAAGTATATATTTCAGATGTAACAAAAAATTCTTAAAAGACGCTACACATTGATAAAACATTGCTAAATTATCCCTTCCACTCAAAGGTTATCCATTTTGTGTTGTTAATAAATAACCTTGACCTCACACGAATGTTGACCTTCACCCTAAAATTTTCCCCACCCTCACGCGCACCCAACCCGACAGTGACATCACAATTCACGCACCTTTGTTCGATGTGAAGCACGTCGGCCGTCTGCTGCGGCGCCGTCGCCGGTCGAGAGGCAGTTGTGTGCTAAACACCCGTCACAAAGGAGGTTTCGGTTGGCTTAACGCACTTCTTGTCAGCAAGGATGCAAAACAAAGGACCGGCTTTGAAACTGAGGGGTCACGTGACTGATAGATTTTAAAAAGTCCGGGATTACACATTTGTTGTTTAATAATAAAAATAATAATAGTAGTTTATTATAGTGTCATGTGTTATAAATGATGGGACAGCATAGTACAGCATATAAATAATGATAAAGTGCTATTTTCAGAGGGGACTTTGTTACATCTGGATCGTTGGCGGAGTAGTGATGAGTTTTAACATCATCTAATGTGACCGGGTAGGCGAGAGAATATCAGGAAGCTCGGAGTGTATCTGCATCTCCTGTACACACTTAGGTCATAGAGATAACATGCCGTTTTTGAAGTACTAGCCTGCTGAGATAACATGCCGTTTTTTAAGCAATAGCTGTCTGAGATAACATACTTTTTAAAAATTACCAGTCCACTGAGATAACATGTTGTTTTTAAATTACCTACCAACAGAGATAACATGCTATTTTTACATTACCAACCCACTGAGATAACATGCTGTTGAAACTACTAGTCCGCTGAGATTACGCCCCGTCTTCATAGTACTTAACCCACTGAGATTACATGCCGTTTTTAAGTACTTGCCCGGGAGAAAACATGCCGATATTTTCCATTGTTTCGCCTGATGAGATAACATGCTGTTTTGAAGCACAAATCCAGCTGTGAGAACCTACCGTTTTTAAGAACTAGCCCGCTAAAATAACATGCTATTTTTGAAATACTAGTCCACTGAGATAACACGCCGCTTTGAAGTACTAGCCCACTGAGATAACTTGCTGTATTTGAAGTACAAGCTCACTGAGATAACTTGCCGTTTTTGAAGTATTAGCCCACTGCGATAGCATGCTGTTTTTGAAGTATTAGCCCACTGCGATAGCATGCTGTTTTTGAAGTATTAGCCCACTGCGATAGCATGCTGTGTTTGAAGTATTAGCCCACTGCGATAGCATGCTGTTTTTGAAGTATTAGCCCACTGCGATAGCATGCTGTTTTTGAAGTATTAGCCCACTGCGATAGCATGCTGTTTTTGAAGTATTAGCCCACTGCGATAGCATGCTGTTTTAGAAGTAATACCTGGCTCCGATAACATGCTGTTTTTGTTCAATTACCAACCCACTTGGATAACATGCCGTTTTCAAGTATTAGCTGGCTAAGATAACATGCTGGTTTTAAATTACCAACCAAATGAGATAACATGCCGTTTTTGAAGTACTTGCCCGCTGAGATTACTCATGCCGTTTTTGGTGTATTAGCAGGCGAAGATACATGCCGTTTTATGTTCTTGTCCGGAGAGAAAACACACCGTTTTTCCATTGTTTTGCCTGCTGAGATAACATACCGTTTTTATTGTACATTTTCGTTTGTCAAAAATACCGTTTTTGAAGTACTAGTCAACGGAGATAACATGGAGTTTTTGAAGAATTGCAGGCGGAGATAACATGCGGGTGTTGTTAGCATAACATTTCCGTTGTCTAGTCCGCTGAGACAACATGCCGTTTTGAAGAACTAGTCCGCTGGGATAACATGCCATTTTATTGTAATAGGTTTCTGAGATAACATGCCGTTTTCATTTTATTGCCCATAGACAAACATGTCGACTTTCCCATTGTTTTGCCCGCTGAGATAACATGGCGTTTTGAAGTACTAGTCCGCTGAGATAACATGCCGTTTTACATTGTCTTGCTCGGAGAGATACAATCAAACAGTATAAAATGGAGATGTTCAGTGCCTAGTGCATCCGATGCACCCATGACCCATACTGTCACGGGTCATCGTTTATCGTCGTTTGCTGAGAACAAGCCTTGATCGAACACGGACCTTCAGCTCTCTGATCAGGCGCTCTACCAACTAAACCACGGAGGAGGTTATTGTGAAGATGAGAATTGCCCTGGTGGGACAGCTGACCTGTGTTTTCAATTTTGTTTCTTCTAAAGCATCCCGAGCCCTCACAAACAAGTCACACACGGTCCATCAATATATATTAAGGGTGTGAAAACTGAATAAAGAATTGAATTGTATGAATGGTAACCCATGTCCACCGAGACATGGTTTGCCTGCCCTCGAGCGCATGTGCTTCTCGTCGCAATTCAAAATAGGAGGTGAAGGGCAGGGTACTAGTTTTGTCCACCGTTGACGTGGTTAAAGGAATGGAAGATATACTCATGGAAACGAATAAGGGAACACATGGAAATACAAGTGTTCCGTTATTCTTTTCCAGGTTTCTTTACTAGCCTTGTTTTGCACTGTGGGTGAAATTCTGGGAATAAATAAACTAACCCTTATACTTTCATGTGTTCCCTTAGTCGGCAGCTTTCAGGTTCCCTAGACTGACAATGAGTCTCAGAAATATAGATACCTTATTTATAAATTAAAAAGAATTACAATACAAAAGTTGCCCATCATTCTAGAATTCAGTAGGTTTTTATTTTCAATTTATTTTCTTGGTATTAAGACACAGACTGCGGGTTAAAAACGTGTCCCCATTGCCGCTCCACTCCCTCTCCCCATATTCTCCCCCTTAATTAATTGCCCCCTACCCTCACCCCACCCCACTTGTCACCCCGGGATGGCGACTGGTCAGACAGTACTACAACTATCAACGAGTCGTTCCAGGACCCGCTATGTGATCTCTAATGTATCGAGCTGGCAACATTGCCCAATGGCCGTTTTGTTGAAAGAAGCTCTTTATCTTCAGCTGGTGTGCCTCGAGAGCATATGTAGTCTAATAACCCTACTTCCATACGTACACCTAATGGGGAATCACCACTAATCAAACATTCATAGGCTAAAAGGTTTCTTTAGCCAAAATATATTCTGTTTCTCTCCCAATGAGAAACTACATTTTGTAATGGAAATGGCAATCCCAGGCACTGGTGGTTTATTCGGGGACTGGACCATTCGTAACTACTCGTCCCTTTCCGTAACCTGAAAGGAGACTCGTACCCCTCTCGTAGCCATGTCCGGGAGAGATATTCCTCCAGCCAATCAGAATACGTGTAAGTAGAGAAGAAATTGAGTCAAAATAGTCAGTTGAAATAATTTTCATTTCGACTTGCATAATTCTTTCCCAGACACTTCAAGAATATTTTCATTATTGCACAGTCCTCCTGGGTTTCACGAATTTTTATAACCACGATATATTAATATTATGGTGTTGGAAAATATTTAAGCATGTTAAACATACCCTTTGAGGTAATTTCCTTGGCGTGGATGCCATGTTTGTTTTCCAAGTAAACTAGAGTTACATGCCCTTAAAAATAGTTCGGCGACTAGTCTATTTCTTTCTCTCTGCGTTCAGTTCAGTAAAATGGATACGAGATGGGTAGGAGTCTTCTTTCATGTTCCGGAATGACACGAGTAGTTACGAATGGAATGGGACTGCTCTGAATTCAGAGTTACTTGCCCTTGCCATGTCCTCAACCGTCAAAACATTAACCAGGCCTGAAAACGGAAAGTGATTTTGCCTTCAAACGGAAGTGAAGTGAATTTGTTTTGTTTGGCGCTACAGTTTAACGATTAGACGAACGCTTAGTCTCTGAATATATATATAATTTTGATAGAAACAAATAATTCCATTATAATTGAATAGGAGCGGAAAATCTAGAGTTGTTTCATTCAGGGTGTTCGCATAGCAGAAAGGGCTGGGTGGAAAGGAAAATAATGTGGTTCATGGACTATGAGACAGTCTAATAATTTAATGGCAGTCGGAGATAATTCCGCGTTGTTTGGAATAGAACTCAGGTGCAGTTCACTGTGGCGAATGCACTGAAAAGTTACCGAAGTTTCTGCTTTCGTCAACTGGACTCGCAGATTATGACGATTGGTTGTTCACATGTAATCCTTCCTAGGCTAACGCTTAGTCTCTGCATGAATATATATGTTAATTTCGATAGAATACA